AGCAGCATGTGCAGCAGTCAACAGCCAATGTGCAATTATGCATGTGCAAACAGAATGTAAATAGTACATCACATATTTCCTGGTAATAAACTCCTCAGCTGTTTAGGAGTCTAATGGCAGAGGGAAAGAAAGAGTTTTTCAGTCTAGTGGTCCTGCATTTCACACTTCTGATCCTCCAGCCAGAGGGCAGAGAAGTGAACAGTCCGTGCTGGGGGTGGGTGGGATCTTTGAGGATGGAGGCAGCTTTCCTACGCACCTTGCGGTGGTAAATGCTCTGCAGAGAGGGCAGTGGAGTCCTTGTGATCTTCTCCACAGTCTTTACCACTCTCTGCAGGCGCTTGCGGTCCATACCAGTTGTAGAGGCTAAATCTCTACTGTTTGTTTTAGCCTGTTGATTGCCTGTATAGTTGACTTTGTTTTGACGCGTGTCCACACATTACAAGTTCACTGTGCATCCAGTACAACAAAATGAGTTACTCACGAATCCACTTGGGTAGATGAAAACACTTTACTTTAGCCAAAGTGAGCGTGAACAATCCTCCAAGGTGAACATGAACAATCCTCTTCATACACAGCAAAAATGTATCTTAAATGAAGTTGTTCAGCATCAAAATTACATTTTGAAACATAAGGTAAGGTGACGCTGACGTGAGGACGACGGTCAAAAGACTGTTTTTAGCCAAAAAACTTACAAGCTAATCTCCTTCCACAACTATGGTACACTCACGTTTTTCTTCTCTTCTTCTTCTCCTTTAATGTCACCACAAGGTGGCGCCTTTATACAATAAAACTGAACAAATGTAAGAAATATTAACTTCAAACATAATCATTCCTAACCGATTACCATATAACATAAGTCACAAAATGTACAACTTATAACATCTGGATCCTACATTTTGTATTTTATATTATGGTCTTCCTTATGGGATGTGTGTGACTGTTTTATTATGTAAAGTACTTTGAATTTCTTTGTGTATGCAAGGTGCTCTATAAATAAACTGACTTTGACCTTTGATTAAGTGTATTTAAACCATTTTCTGTTTTTGTTGCTGAATAAATAACTAAAATGCAAACAAACAAAAACACTACCAGGTGTTGACAGTGGTTTTCTGTTTGATATGTTGTGTGTGTGCAGTCTGTCAGGTTGTCTGGTCACAGAGAAAGGCTGTGCTTCTCTGGCCTCAGCCCTGAGCTCCAACCCCTCCTACCTGAGAGAGCTGGACCTGAGCTACAATCATCCAGGAGCCTCAGGAATGAAGCTCATGTCTGTCCAACTGAAGGATCCACGCTGCAAACTGGACACTCTCAGGTATTGCGAGGACTAACACTGAGATCTCACTATTGAAGTGTGAAAAGAGAGAGAGAGTACAAGACGTACAATGAGTGTAGTCGGTCAAGGACCAGAGTCGTCTTTCTAATGTCCTGCATTGTGAGTTTACCCTGTTTGCACATAAGTCAGTCCCTCCAGAATTTCATGATGTCATGATTGCAACAGTTAACGCAAAGTCAACCAATCCCCTAAATGACCTTGCAACTTTGTGCAGTCACCACAACTTTTCTACAAATTTGATTGATCCTCGTAGCAGTTCCCTGCGCAAAACGCTGAGTCATACATTATCAAACTCATTTCCATGTTTCAGGTTGTGAGGTTGCAGACGTGTGACACAGACGTCTCATATTTACAAGCAATAATTATTTCTGGCCGCTAGTGTTGCACGGTTTATCGATATTAGAAAGGTGTCGAAATACTCTGCCTGTTACAATGATATTATACCTCGTTTTACAAGTGTCAGTACCAGCGCTGGTCCAAGTCTTTATGGGGCCCTAAGCAAAATTTGATTTGGGGCCCTTCAAGTGCCTCTTGGTGCCAATATGATGAACTATTGTCAATGCATGATCATTTGCACACTACTTTGAATTTGACACACACACCCATTATCAGTTTTATCTGTAGCTGTTTGCTTATGCTTTTAACATTCAAAGGCTGCAAACTCACAAGTAATACTAAGTGTCAAATACTTGATGGTATACTGAACATGGTGGAGTAAAAAGTAATAAAATATACCAGGAGACAATGCATTTACTGTAAACAAGTTAACCACTTTTTATTTCATAGGTCTGGTTTAAAACATTTTTGTATGTGTAGATTGTGGAACTATATTAAAAGCAAATTAAGAACGTATGCAGGTAAATACAGTGCCTCCCTACAAAATGACTGTCATCATTCGACAATAATACTGTTTAGTGGGATATAATATGGGGAAGGTTTAATGGGATCAAAAATTAGATACTGCCCAACCCTGAACTGTATCACAGAAAACTTAACTAATGATTGTTGGAAAAAACAAAAACAACGGTTCATCAAGCTGACGACCACGGGGCATCTGAGATGCTACATTCGAGTGTATTTGTCAGTGTTTGACTGTTCTTTTATCTGTTTACAACAGTGTGTGAGAGACAGCCATGTAATGTCCATGTGTGCATGGTGAAAGAGATAGTGCTACTCTGACCCCCCCTCCTTCTTTCAGGGTGGAGCCTGCTGGAGATATATGGTTGACACCAGGTCTGAGGAAGTGTAAGTGTGTTTTTAATGTGATTCATGAAAACAGAGCAGCTCACATTCATCCATCTTCAAACTGTCACATGACTCATTCAATCAGCAGATGATGGATCATTAACTGTGGATGTGTTGTCTTGTTCTCTCCATCAGACGCCTGTAAACTCAAAATCGACCCTAACACAGTGTACAACAAGCTCAAACTGTCTGACAACAACAGGACGGTGACAAATGTGGAGGAGGTTCAGCCGTATCCTGATCATCCAGACAGGTTCGACCGGTGTCATCAGCTGCTGTGTACTGGTCTGACTGACCGCTGTTACTGGGAGGTCGAGTGGAGCGGAGAGGTTGATATATCAGTGAGTTACGGAGGAATCGGCAGGAAAGGAGGCGGTAAAGACTGTGAGTTTGGAATGAACGATCAGTCCTGGAGAATGAGATGCTCTGATGAGGGTGGTTACTATGTCTGTCACGATGGCACACACCCGAGCCTCTCCTTCTCCTCAGTCACTCCCAGAGCAGCATTGTACGTGGACCATCCTTCTGGCACTGTGTCCTTCTACACAGTCTGCTCTGACAACACACTGATCCACCTCCACACCTTCAACACCACATTCACTGAACCTCTGTATGCTGGGCTTGGAGTCTGGTTTTCTGGTTCCTCAGTGTCTCTGTGTTGAGTGTAGCTGAGTCTCCCCTTGTCTGAGAAGCCTTCTCCCTGTTGAACAGAAGGGTTAGAGTTCATGTAGCACGCCACCATCTTGTCAGTTTGCATGTCATATTTTTGAAGCCGTTAAAATTACGTTTGCTTCTTGGTCTAATTTTAATTTCTGGATTCTTATTGTTCCATGTCTGTATTTATTCAATACATTGCAGTATTATACACAAACATTTCACAAATGGACTTAAAAGACTGAAATCTGTGAGAAACATCTGGCTAAAAGTTCTCAAAAGCTTCCCATTACCCTATATCAAGTCTCCTCACTCCTCAGGTGACCCAGAAATCGTTTCTAGTCTGATGTAATGAAAGACATGTCAGTTCCCTTATTGCTGTTCAGAGGATTGAGGAGGCTGCTGGAGGAGACATGAGTGAGGATACACCAGACCATCCTTGATGGAAGTCTTTCATGAGTAGATGCATTGTTTTATTGGAAATCAGCTGGTGATTGAAGGACAACGTGTCATGCATCTCTAAAATGTTTCCTCGGTTCCTCCCTCACATTTTCTCCTAGCATCTTACATGGACTAAGAAAAGATGAGTGAGGGGAATGAGGAAAGATTTCAAGGTAAAGGGAAGCACCCTATGAGCAAAAGCTCTATGCACGAGGCCTTAAAGCTGACCCCCACCTAAGGGGGAGGTTCAGTTGTCTTGTTAACAGATACAAGGTTCTCAACTGGTGCATTCACTCCCTAAACTATGGCTTTTGTTAAAGGTGGTGTGATCCAACATTTCCTGATTATCACCACACTTACAGCTGATGTCAGGTGACAGTCTGCTAGTCATGTCCTCTTATTCCACTTTAGTTATCTTATTGTTTGTTAAAGGTTGTTTTGTTAGCATTAGTGTAGTAATAAACATGTAAACTTAAGTTCAGTACGTCTGTTTTCCTTTGCTTCACCTCTCAGTCCCTAACTGACGAAGATTCTACCTCATTTATTTAGTTAATTCTTCTCAAAGACAACTTGTGGTTCAGAAACTTTTCATGGCAGAACACCAAGAGGAAACCTGGTGTTAGGATTGGTGGGTATCATATGGAGACACACAGGCAGTTAGAAGAAGGCAGAAGGCAGGTGTGGACAAAGGTCAAACAGAGCTTTATTAAAAGGCAGTTTAACAGGGGTAGGCTTAATCAGGCAGAAATCAAGATTGGCAGGCGGGCACACCCTAGGATTGTTTGAGCCAGGCTGAAACTATGGAGAGGCCAGGAGGTTTGATCAAGGGAACAGATGACCAGGAGCACGATGGTTGAGTGCACCAGCAGCGGATGGAGGCTGTCTCAGGGCAGCTAGAGTTCCACACATGGGCCAGCACCCGAGGAGGGTCCAGGTGGGCCGAGGACTGGAAGGCATGGAACTAGTGAGAACCAAGTCGCAGGAGGGACAAGAGGTGAGTCGAGCAGACGGCAGGAGTCGGAGCATCCGGAGGTTCTGGACATTCAGGCGAGTGGAACAGACAGGAATGGAGATGGTTTGGCTTCGTTGCAGACCCAGGTGGTGCAAGTAGGCGAAGGCAGGGGATGTAGATCGACCACATAGTGGAGAAGAGGTGCAGAGGAGTGCTGGTGAAGGCTGAAGTGGCATCTATACTGAGAGGAGCGGACAGGCAGCAGGGGAGTGACAGTCGCTGACAACCCCGGGACAGACAGCAGGTTATGTATAACAGGAGTCAGGCTTGCGTTGCTAGTATCTCACAGGCAAGTGAACAGGAGTTAGAGTCTAACTGTGTAGGAGGCAGTTCATGAATAAACAGCAGGTTATGCTGAACAGGGGTCTAGATGCGTTGCCAGTGTTTCAGTACTCACAGGTCGATGAACAGGTGCTGGAGTGCAATAGCATCACTGGCTGACCAAGAGTCCAACATCAGGTATGTTGGACAGGAGTCAAAGCTGGTGTTTCGGTACTCACGGGTGAGTGAACAGTGTAGTGATGGCTGTCTGACACCAATGCTCCAATACAAGCTTCAAATTCCGTGAACCACTGCTTTGCTTTGTTGTGGAAGAAGACACGTGACCGATGACGTCCAAAGCAGAAACGGCTTTGGTCTTCTGAGCGAATGAAGTGACTGGTTCAAATAGTCCATACTGCTTCGTAACGCAAGACCTTGTACTGCACTATACACATGAAAGATGTGAAGATCCTCTGACCTACTGGAACAGGCACAAAAATGTTTACCCACGTTTCTTTTTGCCAGCAAAGTAATACCTATGTACACCAGCCTCATCAGTGCCATGTCAATGTGTTTTCGAAAGCTGGAGAAGTTGTCAGTAAGAAAAGACATGGGCTCAGCCCAAAAACAGTGGAAAAAATACTTTCTCAATAAAAATCTTTGAATCTGCATCCCATGTACATAATCACACCCTGCCCTAGTTACATTAGCACACCCTACCATCCTAGCACATCCTGTGTTTCCCCAAGCAGCTCCCACCTACTACACTACATACGTTTATAGAATCAACTGACTGATCAATCAATCTTTACAAAAGTGTATTTGCATCATTCACACAAAGCCTAGTTACACCCATCACATAATAAAGACATTGTTTTGCTGTCTCCTATTTCGCCACTAGACGTCACTGAAACAAACCTTTGAATGAATGAACCCATGTTCGATACAGTTGAAGAAGTGGTTTGATACTGGTCCATTGCTTCATTTTGACATCACAACAACAGCATAGATCAGGTAACAGGTAGCATGAATGGCAGACTCAAAGAAGTCGTTCAGAAGCTCTTCCTTGGTAGAGAAAAACAGTAGTGATGTTATGCTTGAAGCAGACGGCTCACACAGTATCAATCTTTCAAAGCAGAAGTATCGCGGCAAGATGTGTCAATGCCTCGCTTTACCATGCGAAATATCACATGGGAAATCCACCAGCTACCCAGCAGGATGTAAAGTACTTCACAGTATAAGTATATAAGGTAGTTACCGTCAGCTCCACCTTTACCAGCTGCAGCATTAAAGTAATGAACACAGTAACTGATCAGTCACTATGATCCAGTAGTATCAGAGACATTAATGTGACATGGACCGTTCTGCAGGATGAGTACCGGTACTTTTGAATACTTAAAGTAGATTTTGATGCTGTTACTTGAGTAACATTTTGAATGTAGGACTTTAAGAGTATTTCTACACTTAAGTGAAGGATGAGAGTACATCGACCGCTGTTACTGTTATGTCTGTATAAAGCCATATTGGTGGACGAAGGTTAAATTAGGTAAGAGAGACCGGGGCCAGTTTTTTATTAAAGTCTTAAACATTTCAGAGGTGTGTTAAAGTGACTTACTTCAGTGTTACATTTGCCCCCTTGGCAGGTTAGGATTAATAATGGCACTGACTTCTTACATTAAATGTAACACATTGTCTTGTCCTTATTAAGGGCAATATATGCTAAATTGTATTATTAATTAGCGCACATATGGTTCTTATATCGAAAGATGAACAGTGAATGTCAAGTAATCTGTGAGTTATAAAGGAAAAGGTAAACAATGTTACAACTGCCCCCAGTCTCCCCTATGTGTAATAATTGTGTAGTAATAATTGTTATTGATATTCCCCTCATAGTGGATCTAATTTCCTACAGCTCAGTTAAATGAGAGTTAATTGTATTTAGTATGGAGTCTCTGCAAAGTAAAGTTATTAGATAAATGTAGTGGTTCACAAAGTACTATATCTATTGTAGTGGAATAGACTGTAAAGTGACATGTATTAAAGGTACCACAACACTGTGCTTTATTTTTTATTTTAATAATATAATTATATTATATTATATATAAGTATATATTATATACGTAAGTATAGTACCTGAGAAAATGCGTTTAGTTTCTTTCCATCGCTGCCAGTTTGCGGTAGGGATGAGAAGACGTGCAGGTCTTAATGCTCAGATCGGATTTTTTGCCGAAATCCGATTTTTTTTTTTTTTTTTGCTCATGCAAACTCCACAAAGAAGGGTCCCAGGTGGGGCCCAAACCCAGAACCTTCTCGCTGTGAGGCAATGGCGCTAACCACTGCGCCACCGTGCTGCCCGCGTAGCGTACTGTGTTTGCGAAAATAAAAATGGATGCGGCTCGTGATAGCATGTGTGTAGCGATGTACCAGTTAATGTGCAATCGAAATAAAGTAATAATAATAAGAAGAACATCAAGAAGGAGGAGAGCACAAATATTGCTTATGGCCTCGCCTCCTCCAGCTCAGAATTGTGACATCTGTCGCATTTCAATGACATAAAAATCGCATGAAATGCAACATGGCCGTTCAGACTGAAGTCACATTGCAAAACATCGGATATGTATCCGATTTATGACCACATATGAAAGTGGCCTGGGCCGGATTTAAAAAAATCGGATTTGTGCTGTTCACACTGTCATAAGGAAATCGGATATGGGTCACATTTGGGCAAAAAGATCGTATTTGAGTCACTTCAGCCTGCAGTCTGAACGTGGTGTTAGTTTGTGTCTTCTGCTGGATGTGACGGGGTGAGGGTTCAGCTAAAGAGGTGTATGAAAGCTATTTCCGGTTCTTTTAACCAGGAACTCAGAGACGACGCGGACCACTTGGATATATAAAAAATAACCGTGCTGGTTTATTCAAAGAATCACAGGTAAAATTAACATTACACGTCCAGGCACCTTCCACCTCCAATACTGCGCGCAGGCAGATGAAGAATGAAACACCCTGAACCATAATGCCTATACATTTTTATCACTTCGATTGGGCTATCCCCATACTACACAGGAAAGTCAAACCGTGGCATCACCTGATATGTCAACTTTACAGCGGGCCGTAGCAGTAGTCAAAACATGGAGAGAATCAATGTGTGTGAATGTTTATTTCGTGGTGTGTATCTAAGAACATTCTGACATGACATCTAGTGACATGTCATGACATTACACATAAGAAAATATTATGATTACAATTACGGTTACACATAT